GCAGTCGGTGGGTTTGAACCACTCACTTGCCGCCTGGGTTGGCAGCACAACTCCTTACTCACCAGGTGGTTGTTCTGCACTGCTGAGTCATAATCGACTCATGGCTGACCCTCCACCAGGTTTTCAGAGGTAGTAAATGACAGAGCAGCACAGCAGCTAGTCGATTTGAACCACGTACCTTTGAGTTGGGAGAGCAAATCCATACCATTAAGCTACCAGAGATCCCTTCTAAATATATGGTTACCTCTCTCTCTCAGTCTATTCATTAATCTGCTTGCCTTTCATTTCTGGATCCCCAGTGGCTGCAAGCCTTTTATCACTCTAATGGAATGAATTGTGTCCTCCTCTCCAAAACCAAAAATCATGGAATTCTAATCCTAAACCCTACACCAAATCTGTAATTCCTAACTACTGATGCTTCTTCCTCATTTCCAACTTTTGCATTCCAATCACTAGTTACTACTAATTCATCTTGAAGGCATGTTTGGTCAACTTCAGACTACAAAATGGTAGAAAGCCTCAATTTCCTTCTTCTTGGCTTTAATTGTTGGTGCATACATTTCAATAATAGTTGTATCAGCCAGTCTTGTACAGGTATAGATAGTATCCTATCACTCACAGTACTGTACTCTATCATAGAATGGTCTTTTCATCTATGAACACAGCGATGTTAATTTGAGGACTAAGGTGCATCTGATTCAGGCCATGGTCTTTTCAATCACTTTCTTTGCCGCTGAGAGCCGGACAATGAATAAGGATGATGGGAAAAAAACTGATGCCTTTGACTAGTTGGGGGTTTTTCTGTTTATTTTTTTGAAAGCTTAAAGCAGCTTTATTAAGGGAGCTCCTGGGCAGGATTCCTTAGTCTGGAGAGAGAAAGAGAGACAGACAGACCAGGGGGAAACCTCCAAAACCTGATGCACTTGAGCTGTGGTGTTAGAGAAGAGTACTGAATATCCCACGGATTGCCAAAAGAACAAACAAACAAAAAATGCTTTGGAGAAGGTGCACACCAGGGTACTCCACAGAAGCAAGGATGGTGAAACTTCATCTCACACACTTTGGGCATGTCAGCGGCCAGTTCTTGGAAAAAGACACCATGTTTCAAAACATTGATGTTTGGTGAAAGAGTGGAAGTACCTCAACAAGATGGACTGACACAGTAACTGTAGCAATGGGGCTCAGACACATCAGAAATGATGAGGAAGCAAAGGACAGGGCAAGGGTCAGATCTATTGTTCACAGAGTCACTATCACTTGTGGACTCAAAAGCACCTGACAATTACAATCCCTACACAAGTTAACAAAATCAATCAGCTGAAGTCATACCTGTGTAGGGCGGGTCCTACAACAATTCTTAGTTGTATAGAACCAAACAGTGAGGAAAGAGATAGGCAAAGGGGCTGGCAGCACAGATGTTATAGACAGTGAGAACCTATAAATCCAGGCATTTCAGAAGAAGGTAAAAAAATAGCTTCTAGGAAAAACTGAGAGGCGAGGAAGACCTCCTCCAAGAGCCATGCCTTAAATTGCAACTTTTAATGTCCTGGAAACAAATTCGAGTTCTTTTAAGCCACCTACCTATGGTGTCCTTGTAACAGCACCATTACAAATCAGTGGTGTGAAGCAGCTGGTAGCCTAGGTGGGTAAGGAGTTGCACTGTCAGCCCAAAGGCATGTGGCTCAAATACGCACACGGCTCCAAGAGAGAAATATGAGAATCTCAACCTATGCAATTTACAGCCTCTGAAAACCTCGTAGGGGGTAGGCGGGGGGTGTCAATTATGAGTCATTTCCAACTCAAAAGAAATAAACCAGTCAGTCAGGAATTTCTGACTACCAAGAAGACGAGTCTTCATTTCTGAAATCTGGGCTATACAAACAGTTCAGCCTACCCTTAAGGCAACCTAGTCTAGGTCTAGGCATCTAATCTTCTGAAATTTTCAAGCCCCAAATTCAGAATCACATACAAGGGCAGCTACCCACGGCATGTTTTAAGAGAGCAAGAACTAGAATGCTCACACACAAGAAATAGAAGCCAAACGCTGGTGCATCCATAGTGTGGCACAGATTAAACACAGCAAGACAATCACATGCTGAAGCAAAACACTATGCTAAATAGATCCGGTTATAAAGCTACAGAACACATATGATCTCATTCATGTAAAACAAGTATTTTTAAAAACAACTCACTCATCTATGCCAAGATATTTGACACACGGCTTATCTGGTCAACTAATTGCAAAAGATCTGTATTTGCACCATTCCAAAGGGGACCCAATAGAAGGCAGAAGTTAGCAAACAGTATCATTAATTTGCACGCGAATAAATTTTTGTTGAAGATCATTTAAAAAGAAGCAGTTGCCACGGTGCATTGGCAGGTACCCATCAGAAACTCAAGGTAGATTCAGAAGAGGCCATGGAACAAGGATATCACTGCTGGCGTCAGATAGGTCTTGGCCAAAAACCACAAATACCAGAAATATTTTCACCTGTGATTTACTGAATACTGACTACTCAGTGGAGTTCTGCTGGCATAGTGTGGGGGGTGTCGTGCTGCTCTCCAAAAGGCTGCTGTGCCTCCAGCAGTTCGAATCCAGCAACTGCTCTGGAGGACAAAGAAGGGTTGCTAGGAGTTCAAAAACCGTGCGACTGCAGTGAATGGTTGAGTTTTGATTATTCCAAGGCACTCTATGGCGTGGATCACAACAAACTATGGATGACATTGAAAAAGAAAACAAACAGGAATTCCGGAACACTTCACTCTGCTCATGCATAACCTCTCCAAAAATACAGTCATTCAGAAAGAACAAGGAGACACTGAGTGACTTAACATCAGGGAAGATGCGCATCAAGGATGCATCCTTTCACTACATTGATTCAATCTGGGTGCTGAGCAAATAAGCAGAAAAGTTGGAGTCTATGAAGAAAGTGGCATCAGGATTGGAGGAAGGCTCTTAACCTGTATTATGCTGATGAAACAACTCTGTCACTGAAAATGAGAAGACTTGAAATCCTTAAAGATGAAGATCAAAGACTACTGTTCTTCAGTAAGATTTACACTTCAACATAAAGGAGAAAGAAAAAAAAAATCCTCACAACTGGACCAATAAACAATATCATGATAGATTTAAAAAGCATTTAGGTTGTCATGGATTAAATTTCACTTGGATCCACAATGAACATCCATGGAAGCAGCAGCCAAAAAAAATCAAACAACATAATGAACTGGACAAATGTGCTGGAAAATTCTGCCAAGTGCAGATGAGCACAGACATCACCTTCAAGACTAAGGTGCATCTGTTCTAAGTCATGGTTGTGTCCAGTCACTCACATGCATGAGAAAGCTAGACAATAAATAAGGAGACCAAGAAATTGCTGCTTTTGAATTACAGTATCAGAGAAGAATATGGAAATACACCACATACTGCCAGATGAAGGAGACCCCGAATGTTCCTTAGAAGAGAGGATGGTGAGATTTTATTTCAAGTACTTTGGACATGTTATGAGAAGGGCCCAGCTCCTGGAGGAGGTCATTATAGTTGGTAAAGAACACAGGATCAGAAAAAAAAAAAAAAGACTCTCAATAGGACAGATTGCAGCATCAGGCTCAAAAGCAACAAGGAGGGCAGCGCCAAGACTAGGCAGGGTTTCAGCCAAGTGTTTCATTCAGGGGGCTGCTCAGAGCACACAACATAGGGGTTCAAAGTGGCCAACAGTAACTGCCAAGATTAGATAGCAATCTTAGGGGGCTGTAGAGACAGAAATGGTCTTCTGCTATGAGTATGTATGCTACCACAACCACAAAATAAACGATCTGATTTCAAAATATCATTTGTACATCGACTTGGTAAAATCGTAGGAGGCCCATCGCCTTACTGCGGAGAACCTTCCAAGGTAAATCATCTAATCGCCTGGCGTACCCGGAGTTGTTCCCGGCTCGCAGAGTCCCCGGCCTTCCGCCCGCAGGTCGGGGATGCGGGCAGGGGGTGGTGGCGCAGGGGTGGGCACACTCACCTGCCGACCAGCCTCTTCCCTAGCGGTGCTCTGGCGGTCCAGCTCAGGCATCATCCCTCGCAGGGCCGAGTTCTTCCCTCAATGGGCCCGGAGTCCAAAGATCACCTGGTCAGTGGGGGAGAGGGAGGGTTTAAAGCCAGCAGAAGCGAGGTGACGCGTGGAAGGCATCTTTGCGCTTTAGTTCTAAAAGCGAGGACAGCCCTGCCCTTCGCACCGGACGAGGGCCGCGAACCCCCTAAGTCAGGGTCGCGCGCCGAGCGCCCGCGGGCTCCCTGGGGGCTCAGGAAGGTCAGAGAGGGGTGGCCCGGGACCCTCGCTCACACCCTCGGTCGCTCCCGCCCTCCCTTTCCCTTCTCGGCTACATCAGCCAGCGCTGCAGCACTCGGTCCGCAGCCTGCGGCGGACGTAGAGCGGAGAATGCGGGCAGACCTGAGGCCCGAGCGGCGGACACCAGGCTCTCCACGCCGGGGGAGGGAAGTGTGGGGGGCGCCGGCGTCGTCCGCTCTACGCAGCCCTGCTCCGGGCAGTCCCCGCGCCCCGCTCCCGAAAGCCGCAGGTCCCGAAAGCCGCAGCTGTTTGAGGAGTGAACTCTGCACCTGGAAGATCGATCCCGATCGCTCCGGGGCCTCCCATTGGCCTCCACCCGACCGACCCGGCCAGAGACCGGCGCGCCTACGCTGGGGAACCCGGTGGGGGAGGCGCCACCGGGCGAGAGCGACGCGAACCACCGGAGGCCACGCCCACCACGGCCCCATTTCCACCGCAGGCCCCGCCCCCGGGGGCGGGCCTCGTGTGCGCCTCGCCAGAAAGAGTCGTTCACGCCTCGGCGGATTCTACTGGCTGAACGGCCGTGGGAAGCTGCTGGCGGAAGCCAATAGGAATACGGAGCCCGTCCATGGGGGCGGGGACAGCAACTAACGCTTCTGTAAGAGCCAATAGGAAAGGAACGGAAAAGCACTCCTTGAGTTCCGGGGTTGGTGCAAGATGGCGGCCTCCGAAGGGGGTTGGTGTTTCTGCAAATTACTGAGGTAAGTTGTCACTGATGTGGACTGGCGGGCGTTTTCGGCTCGTCCGGAGTGCTTGCCCGCCCTGTGCAGCCGAAGTGTGCTGCAGTGGTCCTCCTTTGTCACGAATGCAGAATGTTTTCTCCAGGCCTCAGGATTTATTGCTCGCCCAATGGGGATCTTTTTTCGTTTTCTTTCTAGCCTTTGCTTTTTCTTCCTCTTTCTCATTTATCTTTGTCATAAATGATTCCTCGTCATTTCTCGTTTCCTTTTATCGTTGAGTCACGAGTCATTTTCTCATGAATCACGTTCCCCAATTTATTAAAGAATAAAGCAGATGTTGAATTTTCAGCTCTTCATAATCATATATCGAGCGTTTCCCCCCATCCTAATTCTTGCAAGAGTAGTTTTAAGAAAAGTTACTGCTTTTATATTTGTTATATAATATGTAGAAGAGTTAATAAGTAAATAGGCAGGGGATGTTGCCGGGAACGCCATAATTCATGGGAATGCTGCCATCCTTCAACTACTGTTGTTAGGCGTCATCGAGTCGCCTACGACTCAGCAAACCCATGTACAGCAGCTCTCAACCTTTTGCTATCCTGAGCCAGTCTCACGTCTCCGACAGTCCTACCCCCATTCCTCCAGGTACGGTGTCAGTCCGTCTCATCCAGAGTCTTCTTTCCAAGCATGATGTCTTTCTCCAAGGACTGATGTCTCCAAGGAGCAGCCTGGTTCCACCCCTTCAAGAAAAACCTGTCTGTTCTCTTAGCAGTCCATGTTTAATAACTCCAGCATCCCAACTCAAAAACATCAATTATTCTTGTCGTCTTTGGTCATGATCCAGCTCTCTGATGCATAGCAAGTAATTACAAAGACCATAGCCTGAATCAGGCATACCTTTGTCTCCAGACTGACATTGTTATTCTTTAACACTTTTGAGAGTTCCCTGACAGCAGCTTTGTCCAGAGCAGTTCATCTTTTGATTTCTTGACTGCCAATGCCAAGAATGTTGATTGTGGAGCCAAGTAAACTGAAATTGTTAACTAACAATCTCAATCTCTTTTCCATCCATTATGGTGCTGCCAGTAGGGCCAATAGTGAGAATTTTTGTCTTCTTGATGTTAAGCTTCCAGGAATACTGAAGACTGCAGTACTTGACCTTCTGCAGCTTCAGGTCTTCCTCATTTTTTGCAAGCAAGGCTATAGCATAACGCAGGTTGCTGATGAGTCTTCCTCCAATCCTGATGCCACATTCCTCCTCATAAAGTCCAGCCTCCAGAATTATCTGTTTCCACATACAGATTGAGAGGAATGGAGACAGGATGCATCCCTGATGCACTCCTTTCCTGATTTTAACCATGCAGTGTTTTCCTTCTCTGTTCTCTGAGGACTGCTTCCTGGTCCAAGTACAAGATTTGCATGAACACAATCAAGTGTTCTGGGATTCCAGTTCTTCTCAAGGTTAGCCAAAATTTGATGTACACAATGTGCCTTTGCATAATCAATGAAACACAGGTAGATGTTTCCTCTAGTACTCTTTGCTTTCAGCCAAGATCCCTCTGATGTTGATGATAATGTCTCTGGTGCCACAGCCTCTTCTAAACCCAGCCTGTGTTTCTGGTAGTTCTCTGTCGATGTACTTACTGTTCCAGTCATTTTTGGATAATCTTCAGGATTTTGCTTGTGTTATCAGTGATATTGTTCGATAATTGACACACTCTTTCAGTCGGTTGGCCAGGAAGTTATCCTCCAGATTTCTTGGCGTAACTTGGTGAGCACATCTGTTAAAATACACCAGTTAGTATTCCATCAATTCCTGGGGCCTTGTTCTTTGCCCATTCCATCAGAGCAGCTTGAACTTCCTCCTTTATCACCATTGTCTCTTAATCATATGTTATTGCATGAAATTCTTCTGTGTCAGCCAGTTCTTTTTGGTATAGCATCTCTGTGTCCCCCTTCCATCTTCTTCTTCTTTTTTTTTATCTTGCATTCCATCTTCTTTTAATGCTTCCTGGAATTAAATTTGTAAAAAGAATGCAGGTGGCCTGAGTGCAGCCAGCACTAACTCCACGAGGGAGAGCAGGCCCCATCCACAGCACCCACAATATAACACCTGTTTCTATTGAGGTCAAACGTGCCCCCACACCCCTGAAACCTGTATCCGCCAATTCTAATACCCACAGAGCTTCCAGAGATTTCACTGCTGTCCTGAGGCAGGCCCAGGCCCAGGAAGACATAAGCTAAGCAAAAACAGGAAACCAGTTTAGCAGGCTCGACCCCCAGGAGCAGCAGCAGGTGAACAGCTTTAACCATATAAGGGAAACACAAGTTCAACAATAAATAACAGAAAACTGGTCCAGCAGCTAGGGGTTGACTGCCCAGTAACGAAATGAGCAAACTGAAGCTAACCTATGCCCTTTCCCTAACGAACCTATATCCCTTTTGCCCAATATGCTTAACTAACCAATCATAATACATGTAAACGCTAGTCAATAGGAAAGAGATCTCAACAAATACCTTGTAAGCCTACATAAAGAAAGAACATTTTTCCTTTGGGGAGCCTGACGCTTGCGAGGCTGTGTGGTCTCTGTCAGCTCTTCCCGCCATTAATAAAGTCTTCCTTGCTTCACAAAAAGCCTGTATTGTTCCTTCGCCTGGACCCAGGGGTCAAATTCTTGCAACAATGTTACTAGGTTCACTAATAGTTGCAGTGGCCACTCAGAATTCAAAGAACCATTCTGAGAGTTAAGAGATATTTGAGGGAAATTAATAGGTGACAATTCAAGTTAGAAACAGGATGCACTTCTTGAGTCCGGACAGCTGCTCAGAAGTGCTCACAGGTCCTTTGACTTCTAGCCTCTCGACTGTAGGTCAGTGTTACCCCTCAGTTCTCCAGCCAACTTGTGCAAAAGCCTAAGCTCTGTTCTGTGGCACTGCAGGCCCAGGTCAGCTGTGTCTCACACTGGTCTGCAGTTCTCCACTGCTGTTGCTGCTCTCTTGATTCCAGTCTGATTGGCATAGGAACCTTTGTAATCCTGAAGCATGCTCATTGTCTTCTCTACTGCTTCTATCTTATTGGTAGAAAGATGCCCATCATCTTCCCTAGGTTTGCTTGATTTAAGCCTGTAGAGATAGTAAGATTGGTTAATTTAATCATTAGTATCTTCATATTTACATACAATAGAATCTGGAAATTACTGAACTGTATCTTTAATATCACATGCAAGTAAAAACTTGTTAAAGATTATAAAAAAAAAAGCCCAACAGCTGTAATAGGACATCACCAGAGAGCTGGCAAAAATTCAGGATGGATTTAGAAAAGCCAGGGTATGAAGGATAGCATTCCTGAGGTCAGATGGATCTTAGCTGAAAGTAGAAAATAGCAGAAGGATGTCTATTTGTGTTTTAATGACTATGCAAAAGTATTTGGCTGTGTGCATCATAACAAATTATGGCTAACATTGAGGAGAATGGGGATTCTAGAACACTTTATGAGTAGTCATGCAAAACCTATGCCTGGACCAAGAAGCTCTTGTCGAACAGAGCAAGGGAATGCTGCATGGTTTAAAATCAGGAATGTTGTGTGTAAGGGCTATATTCTTTCTTCATATTAATTTCTGCATATACAGTCTTTATGCAAAATACATCATTCAAGAAGCTGGACTATATGAAGAAGAATGTGGGATCAGGCTTAGAACACTCATCAACAACCTGCCGTTACGCAGTTGATGCAGTTTTGCTGAAAGCGAGGAAGACTTGATGCATCTGCTATGGAGGGTCTAAGACTACAGCCATTAATATGAATTACATCTTAACATCAAGAAAATAAAAATTCTCACCACTAGACGAATAGGCTATATCATGATAGATGGAGAAGAAATCGAAATTGTCAGTGACTTCATCTTGCTTGGATCTACAATCAGCACTCTTAGCACCAACAGACAGAAAATTTAAAAACAAAACAAAAACTTATTGCATTGGGAAAATCTGTTGTCTACCTCTCCAAAGTGCTGAAAAGCAGTGATATCCATTTGAAGACTAAGGTGTACCTTATCCAAACCATGATATTTTCATTTACTTGCTATGCACTGAAAGTTGAACAGTGAATAAGGATGACAGAAGAAGAAATGATGTCTTTGGTTATGGTGTTGGCAGAGCGTACTGAATAACCCTTGGCCTGTCAAAAGGACAATCACATATGTCTTAGAAAAGGTGCAGCCCAGGATGGTCGTTGGAGGCAAGGGTAGTGAAACTTCATTTCACATACTTTGGGCATGTTGTTGGGAGGGGCCAGTTCTTGGACATCATGCCTGGTAAGGTAGAGGATCAGCACAATAGAGGAAGACCCTCAATGAGATGGATTGACACAGTGACAGTAATGAAAAGCTCAAGTGTATTAGAGATGAAAAGGAAGACGTCAGAGAGGGCAGAGTGCAAATCTATCATTCATAGGGTTGCTGTGAGTCGTCAACTGGAGAGCGCTTAACAACAACCACAACCCAAAAGGGACGGATTCACGTCACTCTCAACCTGTGGTGAAAGTCAAAGAAGGGAACTAGGAAGGCCAGATTGTCAACCTGTTGTACCACAACATCATTAGTTTCTTAAAAAATCATTCATAGTGCTCGCTTCGGCAGCAAATATACTAAAATTGGAACTATTCAGAGAAGATTAGCATGGCCCCTGCGCAAGGATGACACGCAAATTCGTGAAGCATTTCATATTTTAAAAAAAATCATTCATAGACATTATATTAATTGCCATTGATTAATATAATAAATTAATTACATTGTCTAATAAACCCCTTATTGTGTACTGCCTTTACTTTCACCCAGCTTACCAATTTTAACTCCTTTCTCCTTCCCTTCTATACTTGTTACCCCTCCAAGTTTGCATATGCCTTTTTTTAGCTGTTTATAATAGTTTTTGGGTGACTGTTATTTTTGTCACCCAGTATAATTTGTTCTAGATCTATCCATCTTGTGCAATATTTTACAAATTCTTGAATATTTTTTAGCAATATGTGATAATCTTACTGTGTGAATGTACCTTAGTCTTTTAGCCATTGATATTTTGATGAACACTTGAGTCATTTCCTACTCATTGCTAATGTAAATAATGCTGCAGTAAACCTGGATGTGAGTGTATGTTAATTTGTGTCACCCCACTTACTTCTTTGGGACGTAAACCTAGTAGGATTGTTGTATCTAAGGATATTTCTAGTCTCAACTTTCTGCTTTCCATAAGGTTGCACCATTTTATATTCCTATCAGCAATGTATGAGAGTTCCAATCTTCCACACCCTTGCCAGCATTTGTTGTTTGCTATCTTGGTGAGCGTTTCTGGTGCAAATGTAGTGATAGCTCATTGTTTTGATTTGATTTGGATCTCTCATAGGGTCACTATGAGACAACTCAGTGACACATAACAGTAGCTAATGATCATAAGCATTCCTTCCTTTGTTGGTCATCTAAACGTCTTCTTGCTCAAGTGTCTGTCCATGTCTGCTGCCCTTTTTGTAATTGGATTGTTTGTCTTTTTCTTATTTGGGTGTTGGAATTTTCTGTAAATTTTAGAGACAAGTCCCTTATTCCGTGAGTCATTGCCAAAAATTTTTTCCCAGTCCGTAAGTTCTGCTTTCACCCTTCTGGAGGGGTCTTTTGGTACAGGATTTCAGTTTCAGGAGGCTGCAGTCATGCACTTTGTCCTCTGTTTATTATATATTTTCAGTTATAGTTGATAGTCTATGCCAAAGATTAAAGTTCCTAGGTTTGCCCATTTTTTCCTTTGATGTTTTATAGTTACAGGTTTTATTTAGTGCATGACAATTTGTAATTAACACAGTAGCTTCCTGAGTTCACAAGTCTATTTTGACTTTAAGTGTTTCCTAAAGTGTTTCCAAGACTGTAATCTCTATGGAAGCAGTACTGTTAGATTCAAATCAGTGACCTTTGGTTAGCACCCCAGCATTTAGCAACTGCACCACCAAGACACTTTGCTTCGTCAATAGCAGTATGTAAATATGCTTTCTAAATTCCCATTTACTGTCTTCATTTTTGTTTCCTTTACATCAAATGCTGTGATTATTTAAAACCTTTTAAAGGGGAAAATCTAGTTCATGTTCTTTTCCTGCAATTTGGAATATCCTTGACCTTGTCCTCTGCTAATGTTACAGGCTATTGAGTCACCTAGGATTCTTAGCAACCATTTGAACCAAAGATCCAAACCTTGACCTATCCTGTACCATCCTCACAGTCTCCACCATACTCAAGCCCATTGTTGGCAGTCATTGTTACTGTCAATCGAAGATATTGAATATTTTCTTCTCTTTCAGTGACTCCAAAGTGGGCAGCCCACCACCACAAAGGATTATCTGTTCTAAAGTGTCTGTAGGCCCAAGTTGAGAAGCTCAAACCCAAAATTTAAAAAGTGCTCAATACTTTTTAAAGGTTCTCTGACAACAAATCATCTTAAAGAGTCAATTATCTCTTTAAATACAAGAATTAATCACAGTGAGAGATTACACATGCAAAACTCATGTTTTCCACCTGTGGACAATGAAAATGATGTAAGCACACACAGTGCTCCTGTTTGCTTCAGTCACTAAGCTACCAGAGCCCAGTCTGCTTTTCACTGCTCTCTGCGAACATGCCCTGCATGTCTGAACTAGTCTCCCAGTATTCCTGCCCCTGTATCAGTATTATCCCGGCTCCTGACTTTTGTTGTTTTAGTATTTTATTGGGGATTTGTTTGTTTGTTTTGCAAGCCTCTCAAATGCTTTCTAAGGGTAAGCAAAACATAACAAAATTGAGCTAGGTACCACTTGTATTGACTAACCTTAAGAAAACATTTTTTCTAAGAAAAAAATTTAAGAAGTTATTTTACTTTCTGGTTTAAAAGATAATGAAATTTTAGTCTTGGTCAATAAGTATTTATTGAGTGTTCTTTCTGTACCTTTTCAAATGCTAAAGAGCAACAATATCTGTTTAAACATAAAAGTGCACCTGTCCAAGTCCTGGTATTTTCAGCTGCTTCCTGTACTTTTGAAAGTTGGACAGGGAGTAAGGGTGACAGAAGAATTGATCCCTTTGAATTGTAGTAGTGGTGAAGAGTTCTAAATGTCCCCTGGACTGCTAAAAGAATGATTAAGACTGTCTTGCACAAAATGCAATCCAGGTACTCCATAGAGGCAAGGATGGTGAGACTTCATCTCACATACTTTGGGTATGTTGTGAGATGGGGCTAATCCTTGGAAAAAAGACATCATGCTGGGAAAGGTGAAGGGTTAGATATAGAGAGGAAGACCCACAATAAGATAGATTGACAGAGTGACTAGAGCAGTGGACTTGAGCTTGGTGGGGATCATGAGAACGGTGCAGGGTCAGACAAGGTTCAGATCTGTTCATTAGGTCGCTGTGAGTTGTACGTGACTTGGCAGCACCTAACAACAGCACCTCTTTGTACCAGCCATTCATGCTAGGTATTGGGCTTCCACTGGTGGGCAAGACTTGCTCTTTGTCTTTGCAATCCTTCATTCTACCAGACAGAGACAGAGAATCTTTTAGCAGTTAATATACAAGAAGGTTTGGGAGTGTGCATCAAGTAGTACAAGAATGAAATTGTAGCAGCTTTGAAGCACAGAAGGAAAGGTAATGAATGATGTTAGGGCCATGTAAACAAATCAAGGTATTCCTGCGTGGTACAGATAGTCACAAATGTAAACAGATGTAAACGAATCAAGGTATTCCTGGGTGGTGCAGATGGTTAGCACACTTGGCTGCCAGACCAGTGTTGTAGGTTCAAGTCTGTCCAGAGACCCTTATGAAAAATGGCCTAATTAAAGAATAGAAGTAGTCATTGGAAACCATCCAGAGCAGTTCTCCATGGCACATAGGAGGTTGCGGGGAGTCAGACTCAGCAAGAACTGATACTTTGAAGAATTCAAATCCAAAACAGACCGGGACCAAAGAAACTGAAATTCCATTCCTCTTAGCCTAGAAATTGAGGTGAGATGGTCGAATACAAATTATTTACTATGGCACACACCTTTGTTAACGAGTGGGAATATTGATCATTCGGGAGATTGCAGTCGCTGGGTTACAATAAGGCATTTTGAGGGGCAGGTGACCTTCCTACTCAGGTTTAGTTTTTTTTTTAATCCTTTAGCACCTACACTCAGGAGACAGTTCAACAGTGATTTTTCCTGCTGGTTAGAACGTATGTTAAATTGCTGGTGTTCTCTGGAGATTGAATATTAAAGGACATGTCTGTTGATGTTAAGTACCTGGTAGCATTAGAATTTTAGAAGTCAAGACTGTATTTTGTAAGAAGACTTGCAAACCACAAAAAAACTTTTTTTCTCTCATTTCTTCTCATACATATAGTGAATATTTGAAAGTTCATACTTGAAGTGGGTATTTAAAAGTAGACTTTAATTTGAAAGGCTTTTTTTAAGATTAGTATTAATTTTTCACTCTCTTCTCTTGCTTCAGGTTTTTTTATTCATTATTCTTCCCTGGACTAATTATAAGTGGCACTTTGTGTGTGTGTTTGGTCATTTTCCTTTGGGGAATCAGACTGCTGCTCCAGAGAAGGAAGAAAGCAGTGGCAACCAGCAAAAATGGGAGCATTCAAACAGTGATTGCATTTTTCCATCCGTACTGCAACGCTGGCGGCGGAGGGGAGAGGGTGCTGTGGTGTGCCCTCAGAGCCCTGCAGAAAAAGTAGGTATGCATCTTTCTTGGGAAGTTTGCTCTTGATGGTTGGGAAATACTTTTTTAAATACATTCATCTGTCTTCTAAGATCCTGTTGAATTTTAGCTGATACAGTGAAGGAGTGAATGGGAAAGTATCTAACCTTCTATGGCTTCATTGAATGGGATTAAGAAGCCGCCTTGGGAGAATAGACCCAGAAAACATTGCATAGTAAACAGGAACTCTAGAGGCTTCCTGGTGAGGAGTTGTGCTGCCACCCAAGACACACAGTCTCCTGTAAGATTTACTGCTTCCACTTTCACAGTACCCAACAACAGCAATTAAGAAGGAATAATATTTCAAGCCATTTCATGCACTCGGTTTCTTCCTCCCTACCCCACCCCAGTATTCTTTATCACTCTATTTTAAATAGTGGATCCATGACTGTTACATTGTATGAGAAAACTACTATTTTTCCATACCTTTTTGTTTCTCTTTACACATCCTTCCTTTAATTCCTGAACCTTCACACAACATTCTCTCTGCTATGCATTTCTACATTCTTGGATCTCCCTGACTTCAGGCTATCACCCTTCTATTTCCTCTGTCATCATCTAAAAACCAAATAATCAGAACACCATACAAAGTAGTTTTCATCTTGTTCTGCCCCATTCTCTTTGCCACTCACTCTGCATCTTCACGTCTCTCACTCCAGCGTATTGGACTAGGGGAGGTCACCTACACATGTTAATGCTTTCTCTAGATTTCTTGACCTCTATATAGTGATATTTTTTTTTTCTAAAATAAGCTTTTTCTCCCAGATAATGAGTCCAAGTCATTCATGGCTCAGTATAAGATAATGCAGTACACTTTTCATCGAATCACCTATGTTTATTGGGAACATAACCAACTCATAGATGACCCTGTAGTTGGTTTTGAGAGACAGTTAATCACATGGGAGGAGATTGCCTAGTCTTCTCCTGCAGAACAGCTGATGGATTCAAACCATGTACCTTTGGGGTCATAGTGCAGCTTCTTTCCACTAGGCCACCAGAGCTCCCTGTTTATCAGAGGAGCCCCAGTGGTGTCAGTCTGCTCACCAGAATGTGTCGGCTGTTGGAACCCACTAGCTGCTCTGAAGAAGGAGCGGCTAGCCACCTCCCACAAAGGTTTGCATCCCCGAAAACCTGATGGACAGTTGATGTGAGTTGGGCTGATTTAATAGCTGTGGATTTGGGTTTTCATTTGGATTTTGTTTGTTGGACTATTTGGGTTTGGGTTATTGTTGTTTTTTTAATTTATTGGGCAAGATGATAAGTTTCTGGGGATGCAAATCTTTGTGGGAGGAGACTGCTCCTCCTTCAGAGCAGCTAGTGGGTTTTAGCTGTTGACACATTATGCTTAGCAGCCTGACAGCATGAACTGCCAGGAGAACAAACAGTCATTCTGGAAAGGGTGGAGGTAAGAATTCTGAAGCTTCTTCTGACATACTTTGGGCCTGTTGTACGGATGGACAAGTCTTTGGAGAAGGACATCATGCTTGGGAGGGTGGAGGGACAGTGAAAGAGGGAGACCGTCAATGAGATGTATTGATACAGGGTCTGGGGTAATGAGGGTAGGTGTGTCAGAGACAGCAAGCTTGGCTTAGGATAGAGCAGGGTTTAGGGCTGTTGTACATAGGGTCACTATGAGTCTCAGGCGACTCAATGGGCACATAACAATAACAAACGACAACAAATGGGCAGGAATCCTTGGGTAATGTGAATGTTACTCTTAGGTGCTAACTGAAAGGTTGGGGCTCACACCTACCCAGAAATGCCTCTGAAGACAAGCCTGGCAACCTGCCTCTGATGGATCACCATCTTGAAGACAGTAAAGCAGCCCTAGTCTACACATTTTGGGTCGTCATGAGTTGGAATTGACAGTAACTGATTAATTGGCCATGTATTAGGTATTCTTCTAGGGGTTGAGGTTGAAGTGGTGAACAAAATAGACCAGATCTATTTTTGTCTCATGGCCCTTGAACCTGAATAGAACAAGCAAACAAAAGGAAAAAAAATATCAGATATAGTATTATATAAACAGTTAAAAAAGAGCAATAAGAGAGTGAGTATATATGTCAGATGAGTGTATATGTCAGAAGTCAGGGCAAATCTCTAAGGAGATGCCAGACTGAATTCTGAATAAAATAGCTGACATTTACACAGTATTAGCCAGACTTTACAAAATGTGTACAAGAAACCTTCCAGAATTACTCAACTTTGTCTTACGTGCTTTACATATAGTTTTAATTAGCTCACTTAATCTTCAGGATAACTTTTGAGGTTGGTACTGTTATCCTCATTTGACAGGCAAAGAACCTGGGGCCTTGGAGCCCATGCCCTAACCCAGTTGCTACTCTGCCTGCTCTTGGAAAGACAGTGAAGATGAGGAGAGGTAAAGCAGAGGGAACCACTCCCCAAAGTCCCCTATGACTGCAGGGAGCTTGGCTTGTTCACAAATGGGCACATCAGTTTGGCTGAAGCCTGGTAGGCCAGAGAGTGAGTGGAAAGAGAAGGTATGGAGGGTCCACATCACACAGGACTTGAATGAGCAGGGTAAGGAGTTTAGTTCATAGTGTATTGCTACTTAACAAACCACCCCATCATTTAATGACTTAAACACGGTTGACTGTTATTCATAGTTTTGAGGGTTTGATGGGCTCAATTTGAGCCCCTGATACTGTTTGCAGCCAAGTGAAACTCAGCCTAGGGTCATACTTCACTCACATGATGGTCCTGGGCTGGGCTGTGAGGAACAGCCAAGAGCTGGCAGGGCCTCCCTCCGAGCAGCCTCTCCATGGATGTAGCGTGGGCTTGCACACAACGGGCAGCCTCAGGTTGGTTGACTCGCCTCTGACTGAGCATCCCCAGATAGAAAGAAGAAGCTCCTAGCCCCTGAGAGCCTGTGTCCAGAAATGGACACACTCACTTCAGGCATATGCAAAGCAATCATAAAGCCTATCATGTTTGAAAGGGAGGGCCCTTCTTATCACTGAGAAAAATGTCAAGGAATTTGTGACCATCAGGTAGGAGTCCTGGTGGCTCAGTAGGTTAAGCATTGAGCTGCTAACCAAAAGGTCAACCATTTGAATCCACTAACCACACCTGGTGGTCTAGTGACAAGCATCCCAAGGGCACACGGTTCAAATCCACCAGCTGCTCTGTGGGAGAAGGATGGGCATTCTCCTCCCTTGCAATTAATTGCCTCTGAAAACCTGCTAGAGGGTCAAGCTGTGGGTGGGATCTGACTTGATGGTACATAACAAAACCATCACCACCATAGGAGAAAGATGGGCCATCTCCTCCCTTACAGATTTATAGCCGTGGAAACCAAATAGGCAGTGGATGCTACTCTATCCTATAGGGTCCTTGAGTTGGAATTGACACTGGGGCAGTGGGTTCTGGGTTAAACCATCAAGAAGAGAAAGAATGAGCAGATAATAAACACTACAGGACTAGTACAGAGGAAGGTCAGCCTGGGAAGTACAGAGAGAAAGACAGTAGCCATTAGCAAATAGGAACATGATGACTGCTCAAAGGTGGAAGGAGGAGATGGGGTGTGGAAGAATAGGAAAGGTGCAGTGGGTTCTTGGTGACAGTTGTGGAAGAAAGATCAATAGTAATTAAATAAAACAACTTATAGAAATTATTATATTAAAAATATATATGAATGTAATTGTAGAAATTACTGTATTAAAGTGAATGATTGTACAAAATGCACTGTGGATGAAGGAAACAATGTAGATGAATGATTGTATGCATACCAGTTCTTTTAAAAGTACCCTTTGGCTGCCAGATGGAAAATGACAGGAGGAGGACCTGGGAGGAGCATTGAGATGCTACCTGTTGGTCTTCCAGGATCCTGTGGCTCTGTCAACACTTGGCATGTAGTCTCTATAGCAGCTTAAACTCAACTGGACCAGGCTTATCCCTATATCCTGAGTACTTTGCATATCATTGTAGAGGTTAATAGTTTATAATTTGAAGAATAATGACTAAGACAAGGTCTGAGGGGCAAAAGCATTAAAAGTCATAAGTGAAAAAGAAAGTCATGAGTGTACTCTCAGAATATTTCCATCAGAGGCATGCCATGTATTGTAATTGTAATGCAAGTACAGGATCCAGCTTTGAAAAATCTTTCTGGTTTTCTCAGATACAAAACCCCCAAAGTAATACACTCGCATCATAATACTCTAAAGATACTAGGTGAATTTTAGTTTGGATTTATGAGTGTTATTATTTCATGACTATTTTAATGCTGAAAAAGTTGTTAAAATGAACCATGTGACTATTTTTAGGGGACTAAAGTCTCATTCATAAATAATTTTTATTGCTTTTGTGTTGTGTGTGTGTGTGTGTGTGTGTGTGTGTGTCTGTCTGTCTGTAAAATACTTAGTGGAAGAAATTAACAAGGAACTCAAGCATGATCTCATTGGTAGAGCTGGTATTACCGTACAGGATAGTGGAAGACTTAGGAAAGGATGTGGTCAAAAGTCCAACTTCATGAATGGAACACATTGTTTCCATTATTATTATTATATTCAGCTGTATGATTTTGAAGAAATAATTATTGCTTGGTTTTACCATAAACAAATGAAACTGTCAATTCCAATACTCCGTTTCAGATATCCTGAAGCAGTTTATGTTGTTTACACGGGGGATGTCAATGTCAGTGGTGATCAGATACTAGAAGGTGCGCTCAGAAGATTTAATATCAAATTAATTCACCCAGTGAAGTTCGTGTTCTTACGGAAGCGCTACCTCGTGGAGGATTCACGCTACCCTCGCTTCACGTTACTGGGCCAGAGTCTCGGGTCCCTGGTGCTTGGCTGGGAAGCCCTGATGCTCTGTGTTCCTGATGTTTACATTGACTCCATGGGCTATGCCTTCACACTTCCTCTGTTTAAGTATGTAGGAGGCTGCAGAGTTGGCAGCTACGTCCATTACCCCACTATCAGCACTGACATGCTGTCTGTAGTGAAGAATCAGAATGCTGCATTTAACAACGCAGCCTTCATCTCCAGGAACCCTTTCCTCAGCAGAATGAAGCTCCTCTACTACCATTTATTTGCTTTCCTGTACGGGCTGGCTGGGTCTTGCAGTGACGTCGTCATGGTCAACTCCTCTTGGACACTAAACCATATTCTCTCCCTGTGGAAGGTTGGAGGTTGCACTAGCATAGTTTACCCACCTTGTGATGTGCAGACTTTTCTGGACGTTCCCTTGCATGAGAAGAAGACCACCTCAGGACACCTGCTGGTTTCCATCGGCCAGTTCAGACCTGAGAAGAATCATCCTCTGCAGATCAGAGCCTTTGCTAAACTGCTGAATAACAAGGTGGCAGAGTCACTTCCTTCCCTCAGACTTGTCCTCATTGGAGGCTGTCGTAACACAGATGATGAATTTCGAGTAAATCAGCTGAGAAAGCTTTCTGAGGACCTAGGCGTGCAGGATGCTGTAGAGTTTAAAATAAACATTCCATTTGATGAATTAAAGAAGTACTTGTCTGAAGCGACAGTTGGTCTTCATACCATGTGGAATGAGCACTTTGGGATAGGTGAGTTTGTCCTTTAAGCAACTTGATGCAGTAAGGTGTACAGTTTGGGTCCTTACAGTTGTGCTACTGTACCATGCTACTCTGGAAGTTTGTGTTGAGTCCTAAACCAGCAAATAGGCTTTTCTCACTTGAGACATTGTAGGAGAGTAACTGGTAATTGCTGATGTGTATACGAGTAGCCCTGATGTGTTATAAGTTGGTCTTTTATTAAAAGATTGGTGGTTCAAATCTACCAGCTGCTTTTGGGCAGAAAGGTGATCAGTCTCCTCCTATTAAGATTTACAGCCCCAGAAACCTGACAGAGGGTGGTTGTGAGTCAGAATCAGCTTGAAGTTCTCCCCATTTAACCCTGTCTCCTTATGGGTACAGATTCCTGGGTCCTCCCCTAACCCCAGAGTCCCTGGTGGTGCAAATGGTTTGCATACTCAACTACTAAACAAAAGCTTAGTTGTTTGGGACCACTCAGAGGTGCCTGGGAAAAAAAGACTTGGTAATCCACCTAAAAAAAAGAAAAATCAGCCATTGAAAACCCAGTGTGTACAGTTAGATTCTAACACATGTAAGGTTTCTGTGAGTCAGAATCGAATTAGTGGGCAACTGACTGACTTCACTCCAGTCCCAGTGAACCACCAGATTCGAATCTGCTTGGATGCCAAAGAGATGTTTTTTGAAAAGTTCTCAATTTATATAACAAAAGTTACTAGTCAGTTTCTCCAGGGTCTTCTCACAGCAATCTTAGGGTTCTTTTCTTCAGTTGGCACTCAACATTGGAGTGATCCTTCTTCCTGCTAAGTCTGTCCTGAGTGTTCAACTGGAATCTCCTTCCCTGTTTCTTTTGCTTCATACTTAATGCACTGTTCTGGTCAGGAAAGATTGACATGTCTTTACACAGTGCCTACTCTGTTGTGCACACTGGTAGGTATACAGAGGAAAGAGAAACATAAATAAGAGACATTTGCTCTAATAAGGTTTAGTTTCTCTTAAACTCCTCTCTCCAATTAGTTGCATAGTTCAACAAGAACTTTTTTATCCAATATGTCACCATGTTCAGCAAGAACTAACTTAGCCAAAATGTCCATATGTCTTTGTCTAACACAGATGGCTGTTTCCTTCCACAGATATTTATCAGGAATTTACTCTGAGCCAAGCACTCGAATGCTTGCTGGTATGGTGACCTGTCCCTCAGAGGCTTACAGCTAGCTCTGTGGGTGATTCCCACAAGCTAGCAGGCACTTGCTGGAAAGGGCACTATGCCCTTCGCCAGGGGAAGTCCAGGAGGATAGGAAAGCACCTATGAGAAGCTTTCAGCACAGCCTCTGCCAGGCATCACTTGATGGGCACAGTGATGTAACACATAAGCAATCATAAAAACCTAAACAATAGTGAGAAGTGAGGCAAAGAGGGACGTCTATTCCAGCAGAGAGTGCTTTGCTGTGAAAGGCCTGAGGTTTTGAAGAGGAGCATCACGCTTATCTTGTCTAGTGGTCTTACACGCATGCATTGAGTGAGGGACAGCGGGCGATGCAGAGGTGCTCTGGGCCAGTAATGTGGCCAAGAGAAGGTTTGTTTTTGTTGTTAGATATCATTGAGTCAGTTCTAGTACAGTGAAGCAGAGTACTTCCTGGTTATGGGCCAAGCCTCAAATCCTTTCTGTCTCTGAGCCCATGCTGTTGGTCTTCAACAGGAAGTACTTCAAGTTCACTTTGTTTTCTCAAAGTGTTTTCCCTGCATATCTCAGATGGTTATGGAGTTTTCCTCCAGGCCTGATGCCACATTCTTCTTCAGTAGCCCAGCTTCTCTGATTACTTGCTCAGCATACATATCGAGTAAGTATGATGAAAGAATATAGCCCTGACATACACCTATCCTGATTTTTAACTCTGTAGTGTCGTCTTATTCTATTCACATGACTGCATTTTAGTCTTTATACAGATTCTACATGAACACAATTAAATGTGTTCTATAATACTGTTTTTCACAATAATATCTGTATTTGTTATGATCCTCACGGTAAATGTCTTTTCATAGTCAGCACAACACAACAGCATCCTTCCCACAATTGGTGTTGTTGGTGGTGGTGGTGGTAGTTGTTTGCCATTGAGTGGGAACCAAACCATAGCTGTCCCGCCATCCCCAGCAGGTTTTTATAGGCTGTGCGTCACACAGGAGATCATCTGTCCTTCAGACCCTTTGCCTTTGGGATTGCAGCATAGCCTCTTAGCATTAGGCCACCAGGGCTCCCTTTCCACACAGTTTAGGAAGCTAAAAATTCAAGTTCAGAGTTCTCACTGAAGAAAGGCTCTGGTCTCTTCTACATCTGCTTGTTCCTGGGAGAGTGCTGTGTGGCTTGGCATCTCTTATCCCATCTCTTTCACTGACTTGCTTATTTAATGTCTGTCTTCTCTCAAGAGATTGATTACAGCAACTCTGATCCTGCCTAATTAAAATGACAAAGACAGCACATTCCCAAAAGGAAACCACTGGCCTACACCAAACTGACACACATGCTGCCTTCAGGCTGATTCTGACTCAGGGGCTCTGTAGGACCGAGAAGCACTCACCCGCAGTGTTTCCAGGGCTGTACTAGTGTTTCAAGGCTGTACGCTCCATGGAAGCAGGTGCCTCATCCTCTTGCTCAGAGGTTAATGGGTCAAACAGCAGGCCTTTCTGTTAGCAGCCGGGTTCCTCAGGAACCTGCGGCACCACCAGGGCTCCTTACAGGCGTGACATTTAGGGTTGACAGTGCATATTTGGGGGATGTAATTCCATCCATAACAGGTATCCAGCCTTCTACAGAATAATGCTCTGTGAAGAGTTAATAGTGTTACGGAAATAGTTATGATTCCAATTCTGTGCCGACCTGGAGTAATAACAGCCAGGCGTCATCATTCAGGATATTGAGAAAATAGATAAATCTTTTTCTGAAAAGACTTAGTTCTCTAAGAATATGATTAGAAAGGCCAGTCAGTCTAATATACAGCCTTCATCCTTATCATTTGCTAGAACTATCCAGTCCCGAGGAGAACCCTAAAAGCACAGTGGTTAAGCATTCAAAGGCTAACCTAGAGTTATTCAAATCCCCAGCCACTCCCTGGGAGAAAGACGGGACATTTTGTATACTCTTTTATTTACTTCTCTTATTTACTTGTCTGTTTTCATTAAGACAAAGGTAGCATTGTTATGAAGCTTTAAAAACTAAAAACCTCAACATTCTTTTCTTTTTCCACCCTGGAAATTAGCAAATTTTGAGACATTCACAAACTATTAAAATTGTCTGTGCCATCTTTGTTCCTGCAAACACTCTCACACACTGTGGGTCTCATTTTTTATCAGGAGTTGTGGAGTGCATGGCAGCTGGCACAATTATCCTTGCACATAACTCGGGGGGACCAAAGCTCGACATCGTAGTTCCTTACAACGGAGACGTGACTGGGTTCCTGGCTGAAGGGGAAGACGATTACGCTGAGGCAATGGCACACATCCTTTCAATGTCTGAGGAACAGAGACTCCAGATCAGGAGAAGCGCCCGCGCGTCCGTGCTCAGATTCTCTGACCAGGAATTTGAAGTGACATTCCTGTTGTCTGTGGAGAAGTTGTTTAAATGACGCCAAGCTTCACAAACAGTATCTCGTGTAGTGTTTAAACATCTTCATGTGGCCATACTTTTCTGAACTGATTCCTTGTTGTAATAAAGTCAATAATAATCAATGGTTTCCACTGGGTGTATATAGCCAGAGTATTTATTTGAATGAAAAAACAAAATTACCTAAATGGAGAAGGTACTTTTCTGTAAAATTTTTATTGGTTTTCATATAAAAATTCCTTTACATTATGTTCCATTCCTATACATTGTGTTTTATACAACCTTTCATTTACATTGTGTTTCATACAATCATTCATATACATTCTGTTTTACATTATTTTTTATATAGTGCATAAAATGTCTTGAAGTTTAAATGTAAAAATTGTAAAAACTATAAAGTTGTGATTGGTCTCTAATGCTGGAAGAATATACATGTGAAACAAAGAAATTAACTTGAATTTTTATGTAACCCATATTTAAAAGTCAATGTTGTCACTTCATTTTACATTTAAAAACAGAACACTGGCAGGAAACCAAAGCCTAAGCTCTGGTGGAATAAGCTGCAGTGTGCTTTACTGGTAATCAGAAGGCTTCACGCCTCCACTGGCTCACATCCTCGGGACTCCTTAGGAGAATGGTGGGTCTCCTCCTTCAAAGATTTACAGCCTCAGAAACCCAGTGGAGGTGCCCACTGAGCTGGCATGGACTCACAGCACAAGACAGAGTGGAGTGCGTGGTAGTCTGTACAATTATCTGTGCACATAATTCAGGGGGCCCAAAGCTCAATGTTGTCATTCCTTACAACAGAGATGGGGCTGGGTCACATTTGAATTTGTTGTGACATTCCTGTTGGTTTGAATTTTTTTTTTTTTAAAGTTTAGAATTTTCCTGGAATTTTTGGAACACTCTGAAAAGTTCTTGTGCACGAATTCTAAACAGTTTTGTGTGTGACCCTTCTGAATATACTTAAAAGAAAAAAGCAGCTTTAAATAAGCTTATTTAATCATGCTCTAAAAGCATAGTGAAAAAGCATGATGACCAGGATTGCTCTGTGGGTTTGTGTAGCCATGGCGATCCAGGCCAGTGTTCTGCTAACCAGCCTTTCTGTAATTAGGTATTTAGGAAAACTGCTTTTGTTTCATGCTGTTGGGATGATTGGCCGGGCCTCCTGAATTATCCTGTGACAGGTCTGCATCTTCAGAGGCTGGCAGGGAGCTCTAGTCATTGATTCAAGAGGTAGGACATTCAGACCTGTTTTCTGACAGAAGAGATGTCTACTAATCCTGCTCTGCCAGTGTCCAGTCTGTTAGCAGCATTGTCACATGGCAAGAAGACATTTTTTAAAGAACACTGGACTATGAGTTCGATTACCAGGGCCCAATCATATTTTACAGCATCCGACTTTTGACACCAAAGCTCTCAGGTTCTCTTTCTGCGTTTCTGATCCTGAATGCAGTGCCTTTTAGAGTTGTGGAGCTGAGATGAAAGGCATATAAAACTACTTTGAAAATTATAAACTTTAGTTAAAGACCTCAGTGTCTTCCATAATCCTATCTTTATGAATGCATCACAACTCTATAGATTTTCAGTTACTCTATCAGCATGTACAACAATAGTCCTTGGAGAATAACATGATGCTGGGAAGGGTGGAGGGTCAGTGGAGGAGAGGAAGACCCTCAACCAGGTAGATTGGCACGATGATGGCTGTAATGTACTCTAATGTGTCAGAAAATGAGAACGGTGCAGGATAGAACAGAGTTCATATCTTTTGTTCATAGGATGACTGTGAGACATACTCAATGGAATGTAACAACAACAATCTTGGAATCAGCATACCTTTCACAGGGCTTCCTGAAAAAACTAGCATGGGAAATTGAATACGTGTTTTTGCAGATATGGCTAAAAAGACCAGTGGTTGAGCAGCATTTAGCATTTTCTGCATATGTAAGCAATTTCTTCTAGGTCAGTGCATTGGCCTCCTTCATAGTCTGCTAGAGCTTTTTGTTAGGGGCATGTGATAGAGGTACATCATTCCTTTCCTCTGTTCACTCATTAACCAGCCTGCTTCATTACCTGATTGATTCCAATCTAATTATTGATCTGCATCTTCCAGCTCCAGGTCAAAAGGTAGCAAAGCAGAGTCCCAGGAAATCCCAACAGAACCTGGCTTTGTCTTAGAGATTATTCAAGTTAGAGAAGCAAAACAAGTGGTAACTGGAGCAGGATGGAACACTGCATATTCTCCAGTTCAGTTTTCACATTTCAGTTTTAGAGACAAGAAAAATTTCAACCCAGAGAGCCCAGTTACCTCCTTCAGTGTCACAAAGCTGTTTAATGGAAGAAACAGGGTTTTAGCCTGGTGTTCTGATTCCTAGCTCAGTACTTTTGTTTAACTAGTTTGAGGTCAGAGTCTCACCATTCACTTACCTATGTACACAGAGAAAATCAAGCAACTACAGATATGAAGACTTAGAATGTCAGAAGCAAAAATGGAAGATGTGAGAATTAATCTGACATTCTATAGAACAGTTTCATAAATTCCAAATTCTTTTTATTACAAACATTGGAATATATCTACTTTCAATGTACCTAATGTGGTATCTTACATATTTCTCCCCACCCCAAATGGTTGAAAAATATCTAATAAATCATCTACTGTCTTTCATCAATTTCTAAAACCTTGTTGCCTTGGAGTGGTCCAAATGCATTCTGTTTTGAACCAAAACCAGGGTGGGTCACATTTTATGTCAAAAATTAAACTATAAAGTATGTGTTACATGTTCTTGGTAGTCATCTTCTACTATTGCTGTGCATATAAATATGATTTAAAGGGCTGATTTGCATCAATCTTGGATATTTTCCCAATATACTACCCTTCACAGTCTCCCAATTCTGAATTTTTTATACCCTACAAATAATCCCAAAATCAACACTCAGTAAATTTATGTTTTACAAAAAGAAAATTAAAAACGAAACCTTATAATGCCTAAAAATATAACAAAGACGGATTGTGAGGTTTAGAGAAATTTTTCTAAATATTGATAACAGGCAAAATAATGTAGCACATGCTTTCTTTTCATGTGATCATGTAGATGAAGTTATGAGCTAAGTGCCTTTGCATTAACAGTGCTTTCAGAATATGTTTTTAATTGTGTGCTGGAGCCTTAACTACAGGACTATGAGTATGAGTAAATAAATGAGAATGTGTCTTTACAATATCTGTCAGTGAGTACAACACAAAATTTATATTGTTATGTTTGTGATGTGATGTTACAGTAAGTTACTAGAATCAAATTAGGCACCTGATATAACCTTGCTTGCTCTAAGTGAGGAGGACTTGAATTGTTTGCTGCAGAAGATCAAAGACTGCAGCCTTCAGTATGGATTACATCTCAACATCAAGACAAAAATCCTCAGCACTGGCCCAATAGGCAACATCATGATAGATGGAGAAAAGATTGAAGTTGTCAGTAATTTCATCTTTCTTAAATCCACAATCAGTACCCTTTGTACAAACAGGCAAGAAATCAAAAGGCATATTGCACTGGGAAAGTCAGCTGTCAGAGACCTCCAAAGTATTGATGAGCAATGACAGCAGCTTAATGACTAAGGTGTGACTGAGTCAAGCCATGGTCATCTGCTGTGCATCTAAGAACTGGACAGTGAATAAGGACAACAGAAGAACTGATGTCTTTGAGTTGTGGTGTTGGAGAAAAACACTGAATGTCCCATAGACTGCCAAAAGAACAAACAGTAAGTCATGGAGAAAGTTCAGCCAGAGTGCTCCTTGGGTGCAAAGATGGTGAAGCTTTGTCTCAACGTTCTGTGATAATCTTCTTCTTAATGCTGGTTGCTGCCGAGTCAAAACTAACTCATAGCTGATTCTCAAGCAGATTTTTAAAGGCACTTTAATCACATGGGAGGAGACTGCACATCCTTTTGTGAAGCTGTTCCTACATTCAAACTGCTGCCTTTGGGATTGCAGCACAGCTTCTAACCACTTTGATTAACCAGCTCTCAGTCCATAGCAAGCAATTGAGAAGACATTGGCCTGGACCAGACTTACATAATTGCTCTTTAGTACTCTAGAGAGGTCTCTGACAACATGTTTCCCCAAATGTATCTTGTCTTTTGATTTCCTGACTGCTGGTGTCTCCTGGCCACATGTCCCAAAGTATGTGAGACATCTTCAAAATCCTGGCCTCCAAGGAGAAACTTGGTTTGTTTTCTTGGCAGTCCATGGTAAGTTCAAGACTCTTCTCCAGCACCACAACTCAAAGACATGAATTTTTCTATCATCCTTAGTCATTATCCAGCTCTCTGATGCATAGCAAGTACTTGCAAAGACCATGGACTGGATCAGGTGCACCTTAGTCTCTAGATTGACATTGTTGCTTCTCAGTACTCTGGAGAAGTCCCTGGCAGCAGATTTACCTAATTCATCTTTTGATTTCCTGGCTTGCACCTATAATCAGCAAATTTCCATGGAAGCAGCAGTTGCCGGCAGGAGGGAACCCCACCTCCACAAAACAAAAAATTCACTAGGCAAACATGCTGCACAGGATCTCTTTAAAGGGTAAGAGAGAAAAAGGGTCACTTTGAAGACTAAGGTGTACCTGACCCAAGCCATGGTATTTTCATTGTCTCACAAGCATGTGAAGAATAAGGAAGAGCTCAGAAGAACTGGTGCATTTGAACTGTAGCGTCAGTGAGGAATATTGACTCTGCATACTACGGACTTCAGAAAAACAAACACCTCTGTCTTAGAAGACGTACAGCTAGGTAGTATTTTCAATGGAACCTAAGAAATGTCAACACCAGTTTTATAAAATAGCAGATTCATGATTTTAAATGAATGAACTTACCACAAATTAGTGGCTTAAAACAACAAAGATTTATTATTTTGCAGTTAAGGGGTTAAAAAGTCCAACATGGAAATCCCTAGACTAAAACTGCCAGCATTCCTTTCTGGAGGCTCCTGAGGAGAACTGGTTTCCTTGTCTTTTCACCTTCTCAAGGTTGCCCACACTCCTGGCCTCATGGCCCCCTTTGCTCCATCTTCAGGGCCAGACACATCAGACTGAGTCCTTTTCACAATGCCATCTCTCGGGTCCTCAATCTCCTGAGTCCTTCCACTTGTAAAGGACCCACTGTTTCCACTGGGACCAACTACATAATCAGGGATTATCTCCCATTTTGAGCTCAATTGGTTTGTAACCTTCCACCGTTGCCAGGGAACGTGATACAATCATGTTCTGTGGCAACTCCTGATTCCAAGAGTTAGGGCACGAACCACTCAGGAGAATGGCCATTATTCTCCTGAATACAGTATCTGAAAGATTGTGTAATAGAAATTTTTAAGTAAAAATAGCAATTTCTAGGTCCAAAAGTCAGTTTTACTGTCTAAATTGAAAATTTAAAAAATTATCAGCTTAGTGAGAAAACCCCTGCAATAAAATGAACATTCATGACATTTGTTACAGATTCTATAGCTAAGAGATACTAATTATTAAGGGGGGAAAGTAAAAAATCACAGTTGTATATATTGACTGGTTGTTGATGTTCCTTGGGCTTCATCATTGATATAAATTTAGATGGGGTCAGACAAATCATTAGATGGTGTAAAACTACTCTCCAAGCATTCATTACACTGTTCATATTTCTGAGTGCTCATCCGTTCTCTGTCTCCTGACTCTTTCACATCCTTAGAAAAACAGGATGCCTCTTCATTTTTTTCTTTCTCGTTGGAAGTAGTGAGTTTTTCAAGAGACTCTACAACATCTCTCAACTCATCCTCAGATTCTTCAAAATTCCTGAAATTATAAGGAGTAAAAATCAACTTTATTGTGTGAGAAGTGTGAAAACAATACTGTCTAGGAAAGCTCGTTTTCTTATTCCCTGCCTTTGCTTGAGCAGTATGAGAGCTGCATTTTCACATGGCGAAGCTCCAGTAAGCAGAGTAGTAAGGAGTTGCACTGCCAACCCAAACACATGCAGTTTGAATCTACCAGCTGCTCTGATGAAGAAGGTTAAGTAATCTCTTCTCACGCAATTTACACCCTCTAAAAACCGACTGGAGGGTCAGCTATAAGCCAGTTCTGATTGGACAGTACATAACAACAAGATCAAGAAATTATGATAAGGTTATTATAATTGGCTTTCACAGGGTAGTAAGTAAGCAGTGTTGGAGAATCTGGCTACTGATTAGTTAGACTTGCATTCAACAATCTCTATTTGGTCATTAGCTACTCTTATGTTTAAGAGGTTGTTATTGTTGGTGCCTTTGGATGAACTCTGACTCGTAGTGACCCTAGGTATAAGAGAACGATACCATGTCTGACTGCTGCAGTCACTGTCCCAATCTGCCACATCTAATAGAAAAGAAGAAATTAAAAGTGAGAGAAAGTAAAAGAAAATGTTAAAGCAGCTTCCAGGTATTGAGCCCTTACCATGTGTTAGCCCCCATCTGTGGGTGTATCACGCATTTATAGTTCATTAAATTCTAGCAACACTTGGAGGTAGAGATTAAGATCCTTAACTATGAGTGGAGAGCCTGAGATTCAGAGATTAAGAATGTGTCCAAGATTGCACAACTGCTAATTAGTAGGAGCACAGATTGAAATGGTACCTGATTGAAATTTTGATAGTTTTAGAAGGTAAGAGGGCAAAAGTCCAAGGGGGAAGAATCTCAAAGGTCACGAGAAAGAGGTTGGGAAAGAAGAAGGAAGAAGCAAGTGATGAGGGAGCAGAGAATTTCTAAAAGAAGCCGGCAAATAAGATGAGAGCTGACAAATGGCAATTGACTCGGCAACTTCACTTTTTAAAAAATTTATTATTTTTGTGCGTACACCGTCAAGTCGGATCTGACTGGTACAGAAGGAGATTGACCCCCGCCCCTTCTCCAGCAGAGCATCTGGTGGATTCGAACCATGAACCTCTGGGATTGCAGTGCAGCTTCTTGGCACTAGGCCATCAGAGCTTGCCAGCAATTTCACTCTTAATTGATGACCTCTGAAAGGACAGTTTGGCAAGTGCCCAGGAATTGATGGGATACAAACTGAATTGTTTTAACAGATACAGCCCTTGAAAGTGCTGGCCAGTCTGCACCAATTACCTGACCAACCGACGGAAGTGATCCATATTTGTCCCCATTCCCAAAAAAAGTTATTTAACAGAATGGTATTATTGGAAAAAATACCATTAATATCACATGCAAGTAAAATTTTGCTAATGAATTACCCAGAAATTACTGCAACAGTACATTGATAAAGAACTGCCAGAAATTCAAGATGTATTTAGAAGAGGCTATGTGGCACCAGAGACATCAATGCTGATGTCAGATAGACCTTGGCTAAAAGCAGAGCATGCCAGAAGAATATTTATTTGTGCTTTATTAATTCTGCAAAGGCATCTGATTTTGTGGATCATAACAAATTATGGCTAACATTGAGAAGAATGGGGAGTCCCAGGACATGAAATTGTGCTCATGTGAAACCTATACACAAATCAAGACGCTGTTGTCCAAACAAAGCAAGAAGACACAGCATGGTTTAAAATCAACAGGGACTGGAAAGCATAATGCTGAGTGAAATAACTCGGTCCCACAAGGATAAATACTGTATAAAGCCATTATTGTAGAATGAGTATGAGGATCGGGGGCAGGGGAGAGGGTGGAAATAGAGGGGTGAAGATGGGGGAGAGTGTTAATCTTGTTGTTATGTGCCATCAAGTTGCCTGCGACTTATGAGTTGCATAGCGACCGTATGTACAACAGCCCTAAACTCTGCCCTGTCCTGTGCCAATCTCACCAATCTCCGACACACCTGCCCCCATTATTACCCCACTCATTGAATCAATCCATCTTATCGAGGGTCTTCTTCTCCTGCATTGTCCCTCCACTCTCACAAGCATGACATCCCTCTCCAAGGACTTGTCCCTCCTTGCAACATGTCCAAAGTATGTATGTCAAAGTTTCAGAATCCTTGCTTCCAAGGAGCAGCCAGGCTTCACCCTCTCCAGGACAAACCTGTTTGTTTTCCTAGCAGTCCATGGTACCCTCAGTACTCTTCTCCAACACCACAGCTCAAAGGCATCAATTCTTCTATCATCCCTCGTCATTGTCCAGCTCTCTGATGCATCGCAAGTAATTGCAAAGACCACAGCATGTATCAGGTACACCTTAGTCTCCAGATTGGTATCTTTGCACTTCAGCACCTTAGAGAGATCTCTAACTGCAGACTTTTGCATCGCAATACGTCTTTTAATTTCCTGGCTGCTGATGCCAAGAGTGTTGACTGTGGATCCAAACAAACCAAAACTATGAACAATCTCTTCACCATCCACTATGATACCACCAATCGGCCCAGTGGTGAGAATCTTTGTTTTCTTGATACTGAGTCTCAATCCATACTGAATACTGCAGTCCCTGGCCTTCCACAGCAAGTGCTTCAGGGCCTCTTCAGTTTCAGCAAGCAAGGTTGTATCATCTGCATAACACAGATTGTTGTTGATTCTTCCTCCAATTGTGATGCCACATTTCTCCTCATAGAGCCCAGCCTCCTGGATAACCTGTTCTGCATAAAGACTGGAAAGGTATGGAGACAGGATAATCTTAGGATTGCACAATTCAACGGGTGGGTGGGGTGAAGGAAATGGGAAGGAACTTTTGTGAAAAACAATGTGTTCAAACTTTGTAAATAAATCAGAGTAAAAAAAAAAAAAACAAAACCAGGAATGGCAGTGTTCTATCCCATTTCCATACTTATTCAGTCTGTATGCTAAGGAAATAATTGGAGAGACTGGGCTTTATGAACAGGAGTGGGGCTTTAGGATCTGAGGATGATTCATAAACAACCTGTGTTAAGCAGATGACACAAAGTTGCCTGCTGAAAGCCAAGACAACTTGAAACACTTACTACAGAAGATCAAAGACTTTAAAATGAATTACATCTCAACATTAAGAAGACAAGTCACTGGGCGAATGAATAAGCAGCATCATGATAGGTAGAAGATTTGAGATGTCAACAATTTCATCTTCTTGGATCCACAGTCAGTACACAGGATCAGCAGTCAACTGCATTGGGTAAATCTGCTGTCAAGGAACTCTATGAAGTGATAAGGAGCAATTATGTCAATTTAAAGACTAAAGTGCATCTAATTAAAGCCATAATATTTTCAATTACTTGTTGTGCATCTGGAAGTTGGACAATAATAGAAGAAGAATCGATGCCTTTGAATTGTGGTGTTGGAGAAGAGTACTAAATATCTCATGGACATCCAACAGGATCAATGGATATATTTCAGAGAAAATATTACAGCCAGGATGGTCACTGGGGCAAGGATAGTGAAGATTTGTCTCTCATATTTGGGGCATGTTGTTAGAAATGGCTAGTCCCTGGAAAAGAACATCATACTTGGAAAGGTGGAGGGTCAGCAAAAGGAAGGAAGACCTTCAAGTAGATGAATTGGCACAGTGACTGTAACAATGTGTTCAGGTATGTCAGAGATGGTGAGGATGGCACACAGTAGGTCAGGGCTCGGTTCTGTTGTACACAGGGTCACTAGGGGTCATACTCATCTCGATGGCATCTACAATTACATTGCCAGGTCTTCCTTCCGAGTTGCCTCCAGGTGGACGTGAGCTGCCAATCTGTTGGTTAACAGTCCAACACATGAGGGCAGGTTTAAATGTTCGGGGAAAGGAGGTGATGCAAAGATGCTGGAAATAGAGAAGAAAGGTGGGAGTGATCAATGTTCCAGAAATAGCTGGCACCTTCCTTATGTCCTGCCTTAAGGACAGTAACTTCTGGCCATAGATTGCAGAAACAGGCAGGAAAAGGCAACAAAAAGGCTTTAATTTGGTAAAGAAATTATGTTATGCTAGATAAAGAAAAGTCTTTTCTTTCTTAAAATTAAAAAAAAAAATATATAAGTCCTAAACAGTGCTGAGAGTTTAGTCCTCCATTATTGTGTCCATAAGTTGCAAAAGAGTCCTTTCGCTTAAGGCATGATGTTATTTTCACATCACTACAGAGAACTGGAAAGGCTAGTTTTCTATTACTTAATTGTCCATTGCAAAACCATCATGTGAATGCTAGAACTTTCCTGAGAAATTTTGATAATTTCGTTTTCATTTAATTCAGTGTCAACTTAATTCTTTTACCATGTGTACTTGAAGAAAAGGAGTATTTTTTTTATTTTGTGGGTGCAGCAATTTTATACAATTACTTATTACTTCAGTTAGTTCCATTTCCCCCCCAGTATTCTGTAGACTCTTTTTTCTTGAAAGATAATGTCTTGATAGAAATGTGCTAAAATCTTCCACCAGGTGAAGCTGATGGTGTCTCCTCATAGTTTGATCTCATTCTAGTGTCTTCTTGCTCTCTCAGTTTGCTAATGTGCTTTCCTATATTATTTAGTGTCATTTTTTATCCCTACTAATACTCTTTGCCTTAAATTCAATTTTGTCTTATACTAATATTTGTATGCCAAGTGCTTTTATTTTACGTGTGTGTGTGTGTGTGTGTGTGTGTGTGTGTGTGTGTGTGTGTGTTAAACATTACTAATCCTTTTCTTTTCCTTGTTTCTATGTGGTTCCATCATGACATGTGTCTTATTAAAAGTCCCGGTACCTGGCTGCTGTGCTTTCTGTTATGAGACAATATATTTTAATGTTAGTTTAATTCAGGAAAAGTCATCATTTCTAACTTTTTTGACACATTTGGCCTTAGTCTAGCCACCTCGTTTTTGTACTTTTTGTCCACGATTCTCACTTATTATTTCTCACTCCTTTCCTTTCCAGCCTTCAGCTAGAAGACAACCAGCAGTTAACGACAGGACTAAGTGTATTGTGCATTTGAGGAAAGGTAAAGAATTTGTGGTCAAATGGCCACAGATAAAATGTGTCCACAGATTATTTTATATCCCTTCCTTAAAACAAAAGGCTGCCCGCTTAGGCATATGCTAAAATTGGGATGACACAGAGAAGATTAGCATGGCCCTTGTGCAAGGATGACACGCAAATTTGTGAAGTGTTCCATAGTTTTATTTTCTTTTCTTGTTGTGTGCCATCCAATCAGATCCAACTGCCACAGGAGAAAATTGCTCCTCCTCTCCAGTGGAGCATCTGGTGGATTAGAACCTTGAGCCTTTGTGATTGTAGTGCAGCTTCTTGCCACTAAGCCACCAGAGCCCCCTAAGTGTTCCATATTTTTAAAGCTTTTTGCAACAACAACAAACGTTAAAGGAACCCGGTGGCATACTGCCTAACATATCAGGCTACTAATGGAATAGTCAGTGGTTCAACCCACCAGTCATTTTGTGGGCCAAAGATGAGCAGTCTCCTAAAATTTGCACAGTCTCAGAAAAAGAAACAGAAGGCAGCTGGGTGTCAGATCGTACTCCATGGCTGTGAGTGGTGGTGCTTCCTTCAAAAGGTGAGCCTCTCCTTCCTCGCTTTCCCTTCCGCTGAAGCAGCTACACCAATTTTCTTTTAAGAAACAGTATTTGAGGAAAGCGGAAGAAGAGGGGAGGGGATCAGTAGGATAGCAGATGATGGGGGTGCAGGAATAGGAATAGAAAAGATGCAATGGCGACTTGAACAAGCAAGATGATAAAAGACAGGTACGGGCAAAACCACAGGGCTGCACAGTTTGGTGAGTGGAGGGAGGGCAGGGAAGGAAATGGAATGGATCCAGGTGAAAAGACAGGGTCCACTGGTGATTAAGTTTACAAAACATAATCATGGGAATGATTGTCTGACATACAATAGGAATGAAGAGTAGTGTGAAACACTATGTATATGAACTTTGTGAACAAGCCAATGTACAATTTTTTAAAAGGCATTAATCAATATTAAAAATCAATTATAAACTATTATCTTTTATAATGTATTTATGATTATATTTTAGAATATTAAATTATATATACACAATGTATATGAATGTCTAAAACACAATGTACATGAATGAAATGCAATATATTTGAATGACTGTATAAAAAACAAAATAAATTTTAAAAATTAAGAAGAGAAATCGGATTTTGCTGAAATGATGGCATATCCCTTGTGAGATTGCTTTTGTTAGGTGCTGTTGCTATGACAACAACTCACAGCAACCCTGCCCTGTGCAGCCTCAGGATGTCCACCAGGCCCATTGTGCCTCCTCCTCTCATTGGTGGTCTTCCTCTATTTTTGCTGACTCTCTGCTTTTTTCAGGATGATGCCTTTTCCCAAGGACCAGCACCTCCTGACAACCTGCCCAAAACATGTGAGACAAAGTCTCATTACCCTGCTCTAAGAAGAGCCCTGGCTGCACTTTCTCTAAAGCAGATTCATCTGTTCTTTTGGCGGTCCATGGAATAGTCAGTACTCTTCTCCAACACCACCATTCAGACGCATCAACTCTTCTTTAGTCTTCTTTATTCATTGTCCAACTTTCCAATGCATATGAAACATTTAAAAATACCATGGCTTGGGTCTGACACACCTTAGTTTTTAAACTGACATTCTTGCTCTTTAGCACTTTAAAGAGGTCTTTGAAAGCAGATTTGGCTAATCCAACACATCTTTGGATTTCTTGACAACTGTTACCATGGTACTGATTGTGGATCCAAGTAAAATGAAATAAGTGAAAACTTTATCTTTCCTCTATCATGATGGAGATTAGATTACTGAAAATACTGAAGCTTCATCTTCCTGTTGGGACTGTTAACTCTAGGAGAAGCCATTTGCTGTGGTGTAAACTATGGAACGGTAACCTGGTGAAGAAATGCAGGAGCCTCCAGACAGCAGCTCTCAAGGAACTGTGGCCCCCGCACCAATGGAACATGAGCTGGATCTGGCCAGCAACTGTGTGAGTGAACTTAGAAGCAGATTGGCTCCAACACAAGCCTGCAGTCCAGTGGAAAATATGACTGCAGCCTCATGAAAGACCCTGGCCTGGAACGCCCCACCTAAGCTACCTGTTCCATTTTACACAAAATCTCTTATAGTTGTGGTTGTTAGGTGTCCTCTAGTTGGAACTGATTCATAGCTGACCCACTAGCAGGGTTTTTAGAGGCTGTGAATTTCCTAGGAGGAGATTGCCCAACTACTTCCCACAGAGTGGCTAGTGGATTCAAACCACATGTCTTTAGATTGGCAGCATAATTCCTTACCACTAGGCCACCAGAGCTCCCCACACAAAACCTAGACATATGTTATTACCAAGAAATGAGCAAGGTCTTGTTGTTATCTGCTGTCGAGTCACCTACAACTCATAGACACCTTATGTACAACAGCCCTAAACCTTACTCTATCCTGTGCCAATCTTATTGTCTCTGATACACCAACCTCCATGACTCCAGTCACTGAATCAACCCATCTCATCGAGGCAAGGTCTTCAAAATAAAAATCCTAAACATACCAGTTGTCACAAAGGATTAAAATATAAAGGCATATAATTTTCTTGTGAAAAAAGAAAAAATCAAATAATAAAAAAAGAAAAAGAAGGGCCATTCTCTCTTCCATTAATCAATAAATTTCCAATAGGGCTAATTCCCTTCTTTTCCTGCTTTTATTTGTTACCAAACGGCCTCTAATGTTCATATAGAAAAATAAACAATCAAGACTAGCTAGAAAAGTTCTAAAATGATAGCTAATATGTTAAAAAGTTAGCCCTAAGAGAAAATATATAAAATACTATGTTTAAGATGTAATAAGATCAGAAAAAAGAGGAATTGGGTGAAATGCATATAAAAATATACAAACTAAAGCTATAAAATTCTTAGACAAACAAGCAGAGGCAATACTGAAAGACCCAGTTTCAAACAAGGGAGCTCTGGTAGCCCAGTGGGTAAGAAGTTGTGCTGCCAACACAAAAGCAGGCAGTTTGAATCCCCCAGCTGCTCCAGAGCAGAAAGATGAGCAGTCTCCTCCTGTGCGATTTACAGCCTCTGAAAGCTTGCTGGAGGGTCGGCAATGGGTCAATTCTGACTCAACAGTAATGAATTGAGTTTAAAACAATTATTATCTCTCATAACAACAAAAGCACAAGCAATAAAAGGAAAAATAAATAAATAAATAGGAACTTAAACAAATAAAAAACCTTTCTGTTCATCAAGAGACCTTACCAAAAAAATGAAAAGACAAGCGAACAAATGGAAGAATATCTTCAGACAACTTGTTTTGGACAAGAATATAACAACCAAAATACATACAATATTTTGAAAATTAAGCCAGAAGATAAATAACCCAATTCTGAAATTGGCAAAGAATCTCCATAGATAATTCACGAAAGAGGACGTTCAAATGCCACCAAACACATGAAAAGATTCTCAGCACCGTTAGCCATCAGAGAAGCCAACCCAAACCACACTGTGGTACCATCTCACCCCATAGGCCAGACTCCCTCTCGCGTGCTTGGATCATGTTATCTATCAGGAGGAAGCCGTCCCTGGAGAGAAGGCATCATGCTTAGTGATTAAGAGTAAAGAGACCACCTTCAAAGATGTGGAAGACTGGCCGCAACAGAGGACTCAAATAGAACAATGATGGAGGATGATGTCTCATGGGCCAGCGTTTGGTTCTGTTCTGTGTAGGATCAGTTTACATTAGGACCAACTTGATGGGCTTTAACTTGCTACCAGTGTTTCATTCGGGCATCTGAATATGACCCACTTACGTATCATCGTCATCAGATCTTGATTCTGGTTGTTCTTCATCTGGTTCAACGTCAGAGGCCACTTCAACCTTATCCTCATCTTCTTTAGGAAACCATTGTTGCAGTGTTCCTCCTGTTAAGAAAAAGAGAGAAAGATTAAAGTTTGGAAATGTGGAGCATGTTTAGAAGAGCTAGCAGTAAAATAAACCATATTATAAATATATTCTTGATAAAGCCATAATAGACAGCTCTGTGGCCTAATGACAAGGAGCTGTGCTGCAATCCCAAAATCAAGCAGTTTGAGGCCACCAGCTGCTCCACAGGAGAAAGGTGGGCAATCTCCTCTCATGCAGTTAACT